AACATTTACCTGTGATATGAAGGGACTGATTTGGTTCTTTATCTGCATCAGGCGACCCAGTCCCCTCTCCACGATGGTGGGAAAGTTGAGTAACCGGAGTGTATGCCCTGTGGGTGCTGTATCAAACACCACCACAGAAAAATTCATCCCTTTCACCAACCTATCCAGGCCGGAGAGAGAGAAAGAAAAAAGACACTACCATCAGCAGCCTCAATAACCTCTTAAACCAAGAAAGGCCTACCTATTCCTATTATTCCTAAAGGCACAACCACCCATGAAGCTACATCTGGATATCTTCAACTCCAAGAGAATGTTTTAAGAAAGGATTCCTGAGGCTGAAAAACCAATAGTTTATGAAATAGCCCTTGTTGTTCTGGTGATGCGCCTTCAAATTGTTTCCCAACTTACGGTGACTCTAAGGGGAACCTTTCATAGGGTTTTCTTTGTAAGATTTCTTTAGAGGAGGTTTGCCTTTGCCTTCCTCTGAGGCTGAGAGTGTAACTTGCCCAAGGTCACACAATGGGTTTCCATGGCTGAGTGGGAATTCAATACCGGATCTTCAGAGTCTTAGTCCAACATTCAAACCACTACACCATGCTGGCTGTTGATAGCTCTAGAATTGAAGAATCTCATCTATATATGTCTAAAGCTATGCTACAACCAAAGAAATGTGGTCTCTTACAGAGACTTCCAGAGCTATTTGAGTTCTCATATAGCCCAACAAGCAGAGCTTTCAAAATGTGTGTATTATGAAAGAAGCAATACTGCATTTAGCAAAGCTCCCAATCCCATCTCTGGGTCTTTCTTTCCTCCAGCATTTATAGCCTCCCATGTTAAATGAGTGCTAGTAGTTTTTTTCTCTGTGGGAAAAAATGTGTATGTGGAATTCATACTGCACACAACAGAACAGCATATACTATGAATCTATCAAAGCAAGTGCAGATTGGCCCACTGCATGTAAAGATGCAAATATCACACAATTATGAGAGATGTGGACACATGCAAAATACTCACCTACCATGCTGGGCTATACCTAACAAAGACAACTGTTCATTTCTGCTTGCCCCACCTTCCAAGCAGTTAGCATACTGAAGACATCTAAACTTTGAATTGCTGCTTCCCAAAACAAACAAGTGGGGGGTTGATGCCAAAGACTACCTTTCTTACCTCATCACTTCAGCATAGCTCATGGCCTCATCAATACCAGGAAAGGCACTCATTGCCTCTTGCATCATCTTCTTGCCCATACTCAGCATGTTATCCTCTTCAAAGAACTCGTCAGGTAGTTCAGCCACACCCAAGCTAGGGTCAATCTCCTGAAAAACAAGGATGGACAGACTGTATCAGCATCACATTCACAAAAAGAGAAGTGAAGCCTTTGATGTTAATTAGAATAAAGAAAATGTTGGTTTTGTAAAAATACCAAGAGTTCCTCAAATGTACACACAGAAACTTTCAGTCTCATGTTCATCATGAGGGGCCCAACACTGCTGTACAGATTACTGATTTCTTGGTGCTCTGAGACTCACTTTTTAAACCAGTATCTTTAAACAAACGCAGTAACACTGCAATATCTAGAAAAGCCGATCCACAGTCATGGACATAATTATTTATGCAACTCTCCCATAAGTATTTTTATATATTTACCAAAGGAAGAGAGGAAAAAAACACATGCTTAGATCTTACATTAATAGGGCTTAGATGTATTGAACTTTGGTTGAATCCTACCCTTTTGTATTTATTTATATACAGCGTTTATTTATTTATTCCAATGATTATATCCCACCCAACATCCGGAGATCACAGGGTGGCTCACAATAAAAACAATTTAAAACAATAAATAGTAACAACAGTTTTAAAAGATTAAAATATATTAAATACTTTTAGCAATTAAACCAGATGATTTAAAACTGATTAAAACAATTTTAAATAATACAACCATAAGATGTAAGTACTTTGGAATTTAAAAGCCAAGTTTTGACTTGGTGTCAAAATGATTCCAATGTTGGCACAAGTCAGGACTCTCAAAGAAGGGAATTCATAGAATCATAGAGTTGGAAGAGACCACAAGGGCCATCCAGTCCAACCCCCTGCCATGCAGGAACTCCCAATCAAAGCATCCCTGACAGATGGCCATCCAGCCTCTGCTTAAAGACCTCCAAGGAAGGAGACTCCACTACTCTCCACAAGTGATTCCACAAGTGAAGCTGTAGAAAAGGCTCTATCCCACATGTATTTCCTCTAATAATGGGCTCTATCTCTAATGTATTTCCACATGTATTTCCACATGTATTTCCTCTAATAATGGGCTCTCTATTAGAGAGCCTCTAATAATGGGCTCTATCTGTAAAAGGCTCCCACATGTATTTCCTCTAATAATGGGACAGAGAGGAGGGCTTCTCCAATATATCTCAATTCTTGGGCAGGATATGTATAGAGAGGTGCTCCCTCAAGTACTGATATCCTAGGCCAGTGATGGCGAACCTATGGCATGCGTTCCAGAGATGGCATGTGAAAAATTTTCCCTGGCATGTGGAGGGCAGGGAGGAGGAGGAAGAGGCACGTGTCTGTTCCCTTCCTGGCCTTCAGCTGCCTCTCCAGAGACAGCTGAAGGCCAGGGAAGGCACGGGGGAAGTCCCACCCCCAGAGGGCAGAAGTCCCACCCCTGGCACTGGGTAACTGATGGCGAACCTTTTAGGAGCTGAGTGCTCAAACTAAGGGCCTTTACAGACTGCCAGAAATAATGCTTTAACTGCCCTGGCTCAGTGCTAGGGAATCATGGGAATTGTAGTTTTTTTCTGAGACAATTAGCCTTCTCTGTCAGAGAGCTCTGGTGCCAAAATAAACTACAGTTCCCATGATTCGCTAGCACTGAGCCAGGGCAGTTAAAAGTGGACTCCAGCTGCATTATAAGGTTCACCATCAGTGAAGCTGTTTAGGGCTTTAAATATCATCACCAACACTTTGAATTCAGACCGGAAGCATACTGGCAGCCAGTACAATTCCTTCAGAGCTGGTGTAATACGGCATCTGAATGGAATCCCAATAAGCAATCTAGATGTTGCATTTTGCAGCAGCTGCAATTACTGAGTTATATTCAAGGTCAGCCCCACAAAGAGAGCATTCCAGTAGTCTAACTGGGAAGTTATGTTCGTGTTTTATAATTTATGTTATCTAATTAAAAATACCTTAAACAATAATGTAGATATATATTTTTATATTATTTTACTGAACAGAGTATGCATTTTACAAGCATAGTTAGGTTCCTAGCCACCACAACAAGTCTTAAAAGCATGAAAAGAGCAGTTCTGAGAGCAGTTCATGTTTAGACTTTTGACAATGAGAATAAATTTTCTCTTGACCCTAATATTGAGCTCCTGGGCCTAAAAATCAGGTTGCCATTGAGGAAATACAATTCCATACACTCTCCACCCCAGGTCAGTAAGCTTGTAGTAGTGTGAGTCAAGGGACCTGAACTGACAGGCCAAATTAGAAGTGTGCTGTTTAAAAGACACATGAGTCCTAAATGGCTAGAAGCTGTGCTGAAGATGCACTCCAGTCCTAAGGATGCAGTGCAGCTTCAGTGTGGCTTCTGGCCTCTTAGGACGCATGCATTGTTTAAACAGTACACTTCCAAAGTGGCCCGAAGCCACTTCATCTGGCCTGTCTGTATGGCCCATAGACAGCCAATACAGTTCAAATCACACTGCAGAAACAGTCCAGTTTGAGACTACTTAACCTGCTCTGGTTCAGTGCTAGGGAATCCTGGGAATTGTAGCTTACTGTGGCATCAGAGCGCTCTGACAGAGAAGGCTAAATGTTTCACAAAACTACAGTTCCCATAATTTCCTTGCATTGAGCCAGGGTAGTTAAAGTGGTCTCAAACCGGATTATTTCTGCAGTGTGTTTTGAACCTATGATTCAACTTCCAGCCTTTTTTTAAAAAACATTACTACTGTTCCTTTACCTCCACACACTTATTTTGCTGGAGCAGTTTCTATACAGTCTCCTGCTTCCTTTTACCCTTGCACCTTATTTGTCTCATTAGGCAAAGAGAAACTATTTTCTAATCTAGTCCCCAGGTATTTAAGAAGCTGTATTGAATATTATTATTAGTGGATGGAAAAACTGTCTTCAGAGGCATACTCACCATGGCAAAAAGGTTATCATAGCCCTTTACTTTGGTGGGAACCTTGGAGAATTTCTGATCAAAGGCATCCGAGATGTTATGAGCAGGATCAGTGGAGATGATGAGAACGCTCTCCCGCACTTTAGAGAGCTGCACAGCCAAGCTACAGCTGCATCCAAAAATGAAGCAAAATGTAGTTACTGATATGATACAGAGAAACAAAGAAAAAACTGCACTGCTACTCCTGCTGTCACAGTCATAACTAGACAGGTTAGATCTAGCTATCTAAATAACCACGACTTTGAATAAGGTTTGTTTATTTAGTAGACCCAAGAAGCAAGTAATGGTACAATAAAATGAGGAAAACATTAATCTTTCATGGTTTATCTATCTCTATAGTCCAAGACACACTGCAGAAATAATCCAGTTTGAACCCGCTTTAATTGCCCTGGCTCGTTGCTAAGGAATTCTGAGAACTGTAGTTTCATGAAACATTTTCCTTCTCTGCCAGATTGCTCTGGTGCCGCAATAAACTATTAATTCCCAGGATTCACTATCAGTGAGCCAGGGTAGTAAAAGTGGTCTCAAACTGGATTATTTCTGCAGTGTGTTTTGGACCTATGTAAACCTTTTGAATAATTCAAAGAATTACCAGGCCATAAAATGTTCTGGTTGTTCATACTCCCCTGCTTACACCAAAGTTAGCCAATGTAGCTGTCATTAACATTCTAAAAGGCAAAAGCTACAATTTCCTACCATAAAAATGCAGCTCTACTTAAACCACCTGGTGAGGTGTTACTTGTCACAGAAATCAGATTTTTACAAACCACTCTATTTACTTTTATTCTATATGGTAACTATATGCATGAGAGCCAGGGTGGTGTAGTGGTTTGAGTGTTGGACTATGACTCTGAAGACCAGGGTTCAATTCCCCTCTCGACCATGAAACCCACTGGGTGACCTTGGGCAAGTCACACTCTCTCAGCCTTAGTGGGTACAAATCCCTCTAAAGATATATGCTAAGAAAACCACATTATAGGTTTATGTTAGGGTCGCCATAAATTGAGGGCAGACAACAACAACAAACTATATCCATGTAAATACAGAAAAAAAAGCTCACTTACTATAATGAAATGGGATTGGCTTCTGAGAGTGTGTCTATGTGCAGAAATAAAAGATTTTGACACCACTTTAACTGCCATGGCTCTATGCAATGGAATTCTGGGATTTGTAGTTTTGTGAGATATTTAGCTTTCTCTGTCAGAGAGCTCTGGTTTCCCACCAAACTACAAATCTCAGAATTCTATAGCACTGAACCATGGAAGTTAAAGTGGTGTCAAACTGTTTTATTTCTGCAGTATGGCAGCAGTCTGAGACAACACATGAAAGACCGCTCTTTCAGCCTTTAAGTTATAATCTTATACCCTTTTGCTGTGGTTTTAAGCCTTCAAGTCTTTCCTGACTTATGGTGACCCTATCACAGGGTTTTCTTGGCAAGGGTTAGTCAGAGGAGGTTTGCCATTGTCTCTTTCTGAGGCTGAGACAGTGTGACTTTCCCAAGGTCACCCAGTGGGTTTCCACGGCTGAAGTATTCAAACACTGATCTCCAGAGTCATAGTCCAACCTTCAAACCAGTATATCACCCATTTACTTGGATGTAAACCATAATGAACCTAATGGGGCCTATTTCAGAGTAAATATTTATAGGACTGTGCTAAACACTCCCCTCTGAAGTGCAGCACTTGAGCTCGCAAGTAGGGAAATACAAATACCTCACTAAACTGAATGTTCCAGGATTTCATAGGGTAGAGTCATGGTACAAGGGAAACGGTGTCAAGGTACTATAACCCTGCAGCGCAAGCAGTCTCTCAGCTTCAGACAGCATGGTCCCACAGACATCCCACGGCTTATGTGAACCCAAGAACAACCTGCTTGCCAAACAGCCTAGTCTGCTCTCTATGCTCCCAGCACAGGCTGTAGAATTAATGCAGATTGACACCTCTTTAACTATCATGACTCCATCCTATGGAATCCTGGGATTTGTAGTTTATGCATGGTGCTGCGTTTTTTTGAATGTTGGACTATGACTCTGGAGACCAGAGTTCAAATCCCAGCTCAGCCGCATAATCCCACTTGGTGGCCTTGGACAAGTCACACTTTCTCAGGCTGAGAGGACGGCAATAGCATAGCCCCCTCTGAAAAAATCTTACCAAGAAAACCTCATGACAGAATCCTGGGATTTGCAGTTTGTGCATGGTAAACGGTTTAAGCATTGGATTATGACTCTGGAGACCAGGGTTCGAATCCCAGCTCGGCCACATAAATCTACTGGGTGGCTTTGGGCAAAAGTCACACTCTCTCAACCTCAGAGGGATGCAACGGCAATCTCCTCAGAAGGAACACGCCAAAAAACAACAACAACCACCCAACAGCCCACGATAGGTTTGCCTGAGGGTCGCCATAAGTCGGAAACGACTTGAAGGCAAACAACAAGTGGCCCCAGAGCACTCTGAGAGAGAAGGCCTAATCTCTCACAAAACTACAATTCCACAGCATGGAGCCATGGCTGTTAAAGCGGTATCAAACTGCATTAACCTTGCAGTGCGGATGCGGTCACCACAATTCCTCCCTGTCAGGCGCCCCTCAACGCCCGGCTCCGGCTCACCTGCAGGTGGTCTTCCCGACGCCGCCCTTCCCTCCCACGAAGATCCACTTCAGGCTGCGCTGCTCGATGATGTTGCTCAGCGTCGGCTCCAGCGGCTCCACGTCGGGCGCGTCCTCGAACTCGTCCGCCTCCGCCGCTAAGCCAGGCGCCGCCGATGCCGCCGCCGCCGCCATCTTGGGGAGACGTCACGTGACCAGGCGCCAGGCTACACCATTTCACAGGGAGGGTCGGCGTCACGCACGGAGCCTTCAAAACACCGCGGGGAGCAATCGGGCGGCGCCCTCCAACTCCCCTCTCCTCCCGCTTAATCGCGCGTACAACGAGCGCGTCATAAAAGGCCCCTCCACGCCACAAATTGCACCCCCTCCACGCCAGTCGCTATGGTCTCGCCCAAATTCGCCTTCTTTCCGCGGATTGGCTGACGGCTTCCTCTTACGATTGGCTGTCGGCGCAGCGCAAGGCGCCTAAGAAGCTCTCCTTTAACTTCCTCTGATTGGCCCTGGCATCATAGAATACGTCGGCGTGAGCTGTTGTGATTGGCTGAGGAGACTTGTCAGTCCTCCGAGGCCCTTTTATTTTTGAAGTGCTCGGGTTGCCGGGCAACGCCGGCTTTCCCGTCGTGCTTTGCGGTAGCTGCGTTGCTGCTGGCGTCGCCGTCGTCGTCCTCCGGGGCGCGTCCACTCAGACGGGGAGGGCGGCGCAAAATGGCGGCGCAAGGGAAAGGCGGAGGAAGAGCAGGAAGCGGCGGCGGCAATAGTAGTAGCAGCAGTAGCAGCAGCCCCAGCGCCGAGGCGTCCGGGCCTGGCGGAGGCGTGAACGTGTTCGCCAACGATGGCTCCTTCCTCGAGCTCTTCAAGCGGCGGATGGAAGCGGCGGCGGCGGGCGGCGGAAGGAGCGGAGCTGAGGCCGAGAAGGCGAAGGAGCCGGAGCCGCGGCCGGAGCCTCCCGAGGAGCAGGAGCCGCCGGGGAAGAAGCGGATCGGGAGCGCCCTCAGCTTCGTAAGGGACCCGGGCACTGACCCCCCCTCCTTCCCCTTCTCTTCTCTTCTCTTTCTTCCTCCTCCTCCTCCTCCTTCTGCCCCCGACCCTGGGGCCTTCGGTCCGGTCCATTTCCACTCGGGTCAGCTTCCATTTCTCCTCCAGACGCGGTTTTGGCGCTCTTTGGTAGATGCTTGGTAGGCAGAAGCCCGTCAGGTGCAGCCTGAAATGCTTGCCCCTTTCCTCTCGGTCCCCTCCATGTTCTGGCATCCGAAGCTACAACAAAACAAAACCACCCCAAAACTCTGCCACCTCGCTCTGGGGGGTTGCAGACTGCCAGAAATAGTGCAAAT